CACACACACACACACACACACACACACACACACACTTTCTTTTTCCGTATCTAATCCCAAAACACCTAAAGCCAGGTGTTTATTCTATTACAGTGGGGGAAACCTCTGAAAGGTTCTATTTGAAAGAAATTAAGCCTGCTAAAGATTTTAAAGAGCAATCAGAAGAGGGATTGGAAATTTAAGCCATCAGAAAATAGAACAGAATCAAAGCAAAGATACAGGTAATACACAGGGCCAGCAGCATTGATGACCCTTCTAGAAACTCCCACAGCCACCTAGAAGGAATTCTGCGAGCTAACCAAGGAAATGGAAGAGCGCAAATGTCAAATAAATAAAGTAACAGTATTCCCCAAGCAGAAGAACACCAGCCTGGACGGTCCACGGGAGTCTCGGTGCTGGACGTGATGAGTGATAATGGAGTTCCATGACCAGCTTTATTGTATACAATAAAGCAGTATCTCCAAAGATCTGGGGGGAAATTAGTATCGATCTAGAATTCTACAGCCGGCCAAAATAGCAGTCAAGTTGGAGGACAGCAGGAAGGCATTTTGGATGTGTAGGAACACGGAGAGTTTACCTCTCGTACCCCCTCTCTGAAGGAGTTCCTTGAGAACACTCTCTAGCTAATCGGGGGGAGGGTTGGGATGGGGGCCCCCCAGAAGGCATGGGATCAAGTAAATAGCAGATTCAAACCAGGAGGGCAACAAGAGAGAAGGTCAGAACAGAGGGTGCTGAGTAGCAGAAACTGAGCAGTCGGCTGTCACCGAAGCTAGTGGGTTTGAGCCCTTCCCGAAAAAAATTCAGTCGGAAATGAAAGCCCACACATACACATGGAGATCTCATATAGAGCGCAAACGAAAGTGAGGGTCACTCCAGGCTAGGCTTGGGCAAACTGGATCAGCCTGACCGGGTGAAAATAAAAATGAACGGAGACAGAAAGCAGTCAGTGGGACAGACAAGGACAGTGCAAGACAGGGATGCCAAGACCCTCATTTTCTAAAGTAGGGACTCAAGACCCTGTTTGTAGTTGGTGGAACAGGCACAAGTGGGTAAGCATAGCATTTAAAACCCCACGGGTTGGGGCGCCTGGGTGGCTTGGTCGGTTAAACGTCCGACTTCGGCTCAGGTCATGATCTCGCGGTCCGTGAGTTCAAGCCCCGTGTTGGGCTCTGGGCTGATGATGGCTCAGAGCCTGGAGCCTGTTTCCGATTCTGTGTCTCCCTCTCTCTCTGCCCCTCCCCTGTTCATGCTCTGTCTCTCTCTGTCTCAAAAATAAATAAACGTTAAAAAAAAAATTAAAAAAAAAAAACCGCACGGGTTAAACAAACATAGAGTTTCAATTCTTCTGAGGGGTGGTGGACAGGGAAGGCTATAGAGATAGTACTGACAGAGCTAAATCTTCATCTGTATCAGCAGGCATGGATAATCTCTCAAATTAATAAAGACGGAAGTGTGCAGGGGCACCTGGGTGGCTCAGCTGGTCAAGCTGATCTGACTCTAGATCTCGGCTCAGGTCACGATCTTCCGGTTATCGGGCTCTGCGCTGATAGCGTGGAGCCTGCTCGGGATGCTCTCTCTCTCCCTCTCTCTGTCCCTTCCCCACTCATGTGCGCACTCTCTCAGAATAAATAAACTTGAAAAAAAAAAAGTACGCACATGAGCACGTTACGCAGCTACCTACACGATATACGTGTAATATACAGTATAAAATGTATACGCACATATAAGCTACTCTAAAATACACGTATGCATACGTATGGGACATACACTCATACCACGCATGGTTAAAAGTTGTTTCTTTTTTGTTCCAAACTTTTTTTAAGTTGAAGTACAGCCAGCCGTGTTACATTAGTTTAGGTGCACACGGAATGATACAAGTCTACTCGCTATGCTGCAGCTACCACCTGTCACCAGACTGTCACTATTACCGTCCCATCGACTGTATTCTGTGCTGTGCCTTCCACCCCCGTGACTTACTCATGTACCTCTCACTACCCTTGTTGCTCATTCTAGAAGCTGCTTCCTATGAAATGGGAAGAAGAGCCAGCCCGGGGGTGGGGAGAGACTGGACTGTTGGAAGTCGGCATTTCCTTCTCTGTCAGCTTTCCAGGTATTACTGTCCTTTTCACCCAGTGGAGGTGCCGTCGTTGCAAAGCTAATTAGGAAAACGTCACCAGATGAACCGTGAGACATCAGGATTCATTTCCACCACCCACGTGATCGACTTTTAAAGTTCAAAAGTTAGTGACTCCTTCAATTCATTAATTATAAAACACTAAAGACAGCATGTGTATTTCTCCTGTGGTTCCCCCCCCCCCCCCCCCCCGCTTAGGTTGAAATGGGACACTTTTAGGGGCTAGGAAAGATCTGTGACATACTGAAAATCGCCGTTAGGTATTCTGTGTGATGATACTGACACTGAAGAGTGAAAAAAAGGGCCTACCCGCCTCCACGGCAGCCAAGCCGCTTACTAGCGTCTCTCTGGAGCAGGCCTTCTAGGAGGGCCCGAAGTTCAGGGGAGAAGGCCTCCGGGAGCTCGACGTTCTGGGGGAGAGAAAAGAACACGATTTGGAAGACGCTCTCTTGGAACCAGGGCCCCGACACCCAACCAGACCAAAAGGCCATTTCTTGAAGAGTGTTAAAAGCTGAAGAGTCACCACGAATTAATATTTACTCCAAAGAAATGGGAAACTTACTAATCACTTTCTTTCCCCCCCACCAAGTAATCTCTATGCCCAACATGGGGCTTGAACTCACGACTCCAAGATCACGAGTCGCAGGCTCCACCGACTGGGCCAGCCAGGCGCCCCCCAATTACTAATCATTTTCAATGATAATCAACAGGCCGGGGGACCAGGTCAGGAGACAAGAAGGTCTCCTCGCTCTTCTACACTCAGCAATTTTTCCTTTTCTTTGATCTCTTCACTTTACTTCTTGATTTCCTGTATCTTTCTCTTACTGATGGGGGGCAAACCTTGATTTCTGCCTTGGCATCTATTTCCACTAAATCTCCAGTCAGGAATTCCTCTATGAATTGTGTCTCTGCTCATTTGTTTTAAGAAGGCAAGTTTCTACACCGGTTCCAACGAACTGAAACGTGAACACTGTCATGTGACTAAGGATGGAGTCTTTAGGGGCACTTGGGTGGCTCACTCAGTTAGGCGTCTGACTCTGGATTTCATGATCTCATGGTTTTTGACTTTGAGCCCCTCATCATGCTCCACAATGCCAGCGTGGAGCCTTCTTGGGATTCTCTCTCCCCCTGCCCGCCCCTCCCCTGCTCACACGCGTACTCTCTCTTAAAATAAACAGATACTAAAAAAAAAATGGAGTTTTCAGTCTCCTTACCACGGTGAGAGTCATCCGGTCTATCTCGTGTTTATCTTTGGTTTTGTGTTGTCGGAAAGGGCTGTGCCTGTGGAAATGAACAACACTCTGTGATGATGTGGTACCGGGATTCTCAGCACACACGCGTCCCTGGCTCACGCCTGCAGAGAGGACTGTGTTCTGTCACCGTTCATCCGAAACTACAGAAACACCAAAGCCATACACATTTACCGTTTCCAGAGAAACACTGGTGTTGGGGTGCGTTAGGTTCTGAAAGGGGGGGGCTGATCAGCAAACATATTCCCTGAGATATTTTAAAACATCGTTAGAGGGGCGCCTGGGTGGCTCAGTCGGTTAGATGTCTGACTTTGGCTCAGGTCATGATCTCACGGTTCGTGAGTTCGAGCCCCGCGTTGGGCTGTGTGCTGACAGCTCGGAGCCTGGAGCCTGCTTCGGATCCTGTGTCTCCTGGTCTCTCTGCCCCTCCCCTGCTCACACTCTCTTTCTCTCAAAAATGAATAAAATTTAAAAAAATTTAAAAAAAAAACCAAAAAACAAAAAAACCCCACAGAGAACTGTAGTGGAAACAACACACACCAAGGGGAACAGCCCCGTAACTTTAAGCAGTACCTTCCTTTGATGATAACAGACAGAAACTAACCCAGTGCCCCCAGGCCATCCATGGCTCTGAGAGCTGCTCACTCATGTTTTCCTTTGGGAGAGCCCCAAATCTAGGAGTCGGCAGACCTGGATTCAAGGTCGTGACTGGGGTGTTTACTGGCTGTGAGCCAGTCATGGAAACCATCAGCAGCGATTTCTTCATCTGCAAATGGGCCTAAGGTCGCATCTCGGAAACCGCGAAGGGGACAACAAAACAACGGAGATGCCGGTAGTAGGCGGCAGTATGCAGGAGGGGGCTGATCCAGCAGTCGTTCGTGAACTTCATGAAGATGAATCTTACTTTATCCAACAAATGCCTGCTGGATAAACTGTGTAAAAACAAATCATTCTTCCTCTTTACCCTGTTGTGAAAACCCCAGAGAAGCTGGCTTTTAAAGGAAATCTTATCAAAAGAGACCAGTAAACATGCAAATTACAAAATCCTGGCCTTCTTTATTTATTTGAAAATTAAAAAAGATACACACACACACACAAAAGAGTTTTCTTATATAGCAACACAGGCCCATAAAATTACGAATCCTACAGATTTATTTCTAAGGCATATATAACATAATCAGAGGCAAGATACTCTATAAAATATTTGGAAGTGTCTTCAGTGGGCTAGAATACTGAGCACATAAATGAATGTGATTTAGGAAAGGAACTGATCCTTGTATTTGTCCACTCACTACTTACTACTACCGATCTGACCATCCTGCTGAATTAGAGAAGTCTGCACTGAATCATCTCTTGGAAAAGATTATTAGATTTCAGAGCCTTTATTATTTTAAGGATTTTAATGTTCATTTTGTACAAGAGAGGGCACTCTAATGCTTTGTTTTCCTCCTTATCATGCAACAGAATAGAAAGTAATTTCCATCTCTTGAAAGTAATAAAATATAAAACAAGGTGAGTTAGGGTTAAGCAAACATACGCTAATCTTTAAACTAGATTTTGGCTGCAAATGTCCTTTTCAACCTCTTCGTGTCCAAAAATAAAAATGCAAAATTACTGCATTGAAAAAGCAAATAATGGGGGCACCCGGGTGGCTCAGCCGGTTAAGTGTCTGACTTTGGCTCAGGTCATGATCTCACGGTTTGTGGGTTCCAGCCCCGTGTCAGGCTCTGCTGACAGCTCGGAGCCTGGAGCCTGCTTCGGATTCTGTGTCTCCCTCTCTCTGTGCCCCTCCCCTGTTCATGCTCATGCTTGCTCTCTCTCTCTCTCTCTCTCTCTCTCTCTCTCTCTCTCGCTCTCAAAAGTAAACATTAAAAAAAAGCAAATAGGATATAACAACAAATGGCATTTGTCAAATGGTATCTGTTATTTATAAGATAGTAACATCTAAAAAAAACCCATTACTTGTATCACTCTCCTCTGCAAAAGACACAGAGATATTAACACGTCCATGGTTCAAGAGAAAAAGAATAAACGCTTATTAAATCTTACTAAAACGTTAGCCTCTCTGCTGGACATGGCTGTTTCCACCCCACAAAGCCCCTGAACCCATGAAAAGGGACTGTGTGCGGATCTCCTGGCATTGTGGCAGCTCCTGCCGGTCTGGCTCCTGTGTGCGGCGCCGGGGGACCCCACTCCCGCTCCCGACCCCCATGCACTTGCCTGCGTCTGCCGCCGGAAGGAAAGGGCTGTGCCCTGACCCTGGCAGAGAAGGCCTGCTGTGTTCTGACAGAAATGCTCTGTGCTAAATTTAAAACGTCTTTCATGAGACCAGAGGGAGGCTGGCAGGGGGGAGCGGAGTTAAAGTCAGTGGGGCCAAACCCATTTCCAGCGCATGAACCCTGTCCCGGTCCCGTGCTAGAAACATAGCTAGTCCGTGCCCGACTGCACACAAAATGGTCGGAAATGCTTTTCAGCGATTCGGTTCTGGGCTTGCGGCGCTGAGAAAGTTTGGTCTTTCAAGTTCAAAATCGCGCTGCACATCTGTTTCCAATGTAGTCTTGATTATTCTTTGTGCACAAAGCCAAAGACGCTGTGTCTATTTTGGAAAACGTTAAAGAGACCCTACGACAGTAACGATCTCCGCTCTGAGGGAGGCACGTGGTACCCACAGATCCTGTGTGCCTTGCAGCTGCTCCGCTCCCTGATGCAGCCGCTTTAAATAGGAGAGGGTATCTGGCCCGCCGGCAGCTAGCAGGGCGGCCGCTTCTCCCTGCAGGGCGTGCAACACGCTGGCTGCAGCCGGGAAGTGCCGCGGGAATGAAATTCACATGTGTGGTGGTCAGATGTGGCTTGTGAATTACAGACCGAGTGGGAGCGCTGCAAATTTCCCCCAAAAGAGTTGGGAAATCGCTCAAGATGTCAGAAATGCTGGGAAAACACACACACACACACACACACACACACACACACACACACCACACTCAGTGAAACAATGAGCTCAAAAGCAGTACATTTCTAAGTACGAGTGATTCAAAACTCTTAAGCCAAAAATTAATTTTAGAATACGAAAAAGATCATACGTTACGTCAAATAGGAGTTTTGAACCTAAGCCAGTAGCTGCCAAAATATTTATAAACATTCCCTGTTTCTTCCGTACAGGAACAATCTCAGTAACCTCGGGCAGAGCTCAGCTGTCCCCAGAGCACCGTCCAGGCTCTTTCCCTGCATCTGACAGCTTCGGGGACAGACCATCAGTGGTGACAAGTTTAGGATCAAAGCCACTGTCACATCAATTCTTTTCCTTAACAGACATCTGAAATCTGGTTGGAGGATCATGACAGCAACCCCACACATTTGCAACAAGGACACATGTTCAATACCAGACAAAGTCATCTGAGGGGGAAACAGTGACACCTCCCGGACACATGGCTTCTGAACGGCTCGGTCCATCACTGTGAGTCCAAGGTTGCAGAACGCGAGCTCAAGCTGGGACAGCTTGCTCCTTTCCCTCAGGCCCTGCGGTGTTCTTCTAGGGTGTCGAGGCAAAGTGGGGGGTGCAGACCAGTGTTTCAGCAGAGGCAGTGGGGACACACAGGTCCATGTAAGGAGGCATTCCACCACAGAATGTTGGTGACCACCTGTTCAACCTCACTGCACGGGCATGGGAAGGAAGAGACAGGCTAAGAGAAGACTTGCTCATCCTCAGCACCATTGACCTTTTGGGCTGGGCAACCCTTTGCTGGGGCAGCGAGGCCCGTCCTGACTATCGTGAGATGTTTAGCAGCATCCCTGGCCCCCACCTGCCAGATGTCAGAAGTAGCCCTTTCCAAAGCTGTGACAACCAAAAACGTCTCCGGGCATTGCCAAGCGCCCCTGGGGTGGTGGCCGAGCTGTGGGCAGCGGCTGGCAAGGCATCGGGTCCATTCTGCAAGGACCTGAACCGTGGCTGTCCTGTGAGCACACCAGGAAGCAGGGGGGCAGGGCCTGTGGGCCGGTGCTCTCCCCCTTGTCCCCCTGCCCTGCTGCCTTGCTTCCTCAGCCCCTTGTGTCGGAAAAAAACCCAGCTAGCTGCTCAGGGCTCCCTTCTAGGCGGCCAGTGAAAACTGAATAGGTCACTTCCAGACATACTTGCCGTGTCTTCCCCACACACGACCTTGCGAAGTGGAACAGGTGACACTGTCCCCTCATCTGCAGCTGAAGGGGATGAAGCCTCCTGGGCACAGCCCCTTCCCCTGCTGACCCCAGTACGGTGTTTTGCTCCTGAAGGTCCCTCAATAAACATCAGTTTAATAGGAACCACTGACATTTTACAACCACGGATTCTGGTAATGACGTCACTCTCGCCCCAGCTACCTCGAATCTGACCCCTTAGCTTCCGTATCTGAGCACCCATCCGGAAAAACAGCCACTGCCACCCCCACCCGTCAGCCTAGCAAGACAGGTCCACCACTTGCCCCCTTCCTGGTCCCGGGGCTGCAGGGCTAGCTTGAGTGCTCCTGGCTTTTCGCCTGGGTCCCTGCACCTGTCCCAGTCTCCCTCTGTCCAGTCATCTTCTTCTGACAGACACCCCAGCGATGTCCCTCCTTTGCATAAAAGCCTCCAGGCTCCGGGGCCTCGAGAGCAAAGCCCCAACTCCCCGGCACAGTGTTCTAGGCTCTCCGATCTCCACCCAATCTCCTCAACCTTCTCCCTGAGCACACTCTCCATCTTCTTGTCAGTGACCTGCCCCGCCCAGGTCACAGCTGGGGAAAGGCAAACTGCCCAGCGTCGTCTGCTCCCCGAAGAAAACGTGTCTACTCTGCCCCAGTCTTGGAATCGCCATCCTCTTTCAAGCTCGCTTCACAGAGCATCTCCTGCGTGGAGTTGGCCCCGCTCCCCCAAGTTAGCCCTGGGACCCATTTTCGTGCCCCCGGACACCGCGGCTGGCCTTGCTCCTGGGTGTAGACATCTCTACTCTCCCGCCAGCTCCTTACGGACCCGATGTGGCTTCCTCCTTCCCTCCCTTCCTCTCCCCAGAGCACCCAGCACAGCCTGTTGCATATTGCAAGTACCCGATAAACGTTTACCAAATTTAGTCGAAATCACATCAATCAAACAACGTCTCCCTGCCCTTCGGTTTCAGTGCTCCGTCCTTCCCGTGAATGGCTTCCAAACAAGGAATGCAAAGGATGGCGTAGGATCATAAACCCCAGGGCGCCTGGGTGGCTCAGTCGGTTGAGCATCCAATTTCGGCTCAGGCCACGTTCTCATGGTTTGTGGGTTCAAACCCTGCATTGGGCTTTGTGCTGGAGGTGTGGAGCCTGCTTTGGATTCTCTGTCTCCCACTCTCTCTGTGCCCCTCCCCTGCTCACACACTCTCTCTCAAAGATAAATAAACATTAAAAAAATCATAAATCTTACTGGGGAAGACTCATCTGGTCCTATCTATTATACACTGGAAGGATTCTTTCCGTGCCAGACTCAAAGGATGGTCCCCCAGCAGTGACGGGGACCTCACTACCTGTGAGGTACAACACTCCTTCAAATGCTCCAGTGGGCATTCTTGTGTCCAAGTGAAATCTTTCCCCTCCTTAAATGCCTGCTCCTGGGAGCAGTGCAGCATGCATATAGCCCCTCCCTGACGATGGACCCTCCACCAGCCAGAAGCCATTAGGACCCCCCTAAGCCTTGTACTTAGCTCTTCCTACCTTTCCATAGGAGCCATGGTTTCGAGGTCTGTCACTGTTGTCCCCTCGTCTCATCCATCCCCTCCTTGGGGAACCCCTCTGGATGTCTTCCCGCCAGCCAGGACTCCTCTGGGCAGGAAGCCACACTTCCCCACCGGGCCCGATCACAGACTTCACGAAGAATGAAACCTCCCAATTCGGTACTCCCAATCTGAATTGGGGCTAAATACAGCTGGATTCACTTTTTTTTTTTAATTTTTTAATGTTGTTTTTTTTTTGAGAGAGACAGAGTGTGAGCGGGGGAGGGGCAAAGAGGGGGGAGACAGAGAATCGGAGGCAGGCTCCAGGCTCCGAGCTGTCAGCACAGAGCCTGACGTGGGGCTCGAACTCATGCACCAGGAAATCATGACCTGAGCCGAAGTTGGACGCTTAACCGACCGAGCCACCCAGGCGCCCCCGGATTCACCTTATTAGCCCCAAATCGCACTGCTGGCATATTGTTAGTAATTAAATTTTCTGATCTTTTTTTTTTTTTTTAATTTTTTTTTTCAACGTTTATTTATTTTTGGGACAGAGAGAGACAGAGCATGAACGGGGGAGGGGCAGAGAGAGAGAGAGACACAGAATCGGAAACAGGCTCCAGGCTCTGAGCCATCAGCCCAGAGTCTGACGCGGGGCTCGAACTCACGGAACGCAAGATCGTGACCTGGCTGAAGTCGGACGCTTAACCGACTGCGCCACCCAGGCGCCCCTAAATTTTCTGATCTTTTTAAAAGCGGTGTCACACCAGATCATCCCCAATCTACACGCATGGATGTTATTATAAACAGACCAAAGAAGTGAACAAAGCCCTGAATGCCTGGCTTTGCAGGTTTCATTTCCCCTGTGACATGTTACTGTTGATTTTTGAATCTGGACTTGGCGTATGCAATGGTTTCGCCGATGCACAGAATTTCATCATCTCACAATTTTGTGAGTGTGGATTCCGCACCTCCAACCCCACCTCCAGAGGATGTCCAGAGACCCGGGCGCGTCTCCACACACTCACCACACATGCAGAGGCTTTCCCACTCCCCACATCTTGCGTGGGAAGTGGTTTTCTCTGGTCTGTCTTGCAGAAACTCTCTAATTAGGTCAGTGAGTCCGATGACGTGAATTAGGCCCATCCAGGCTCCACAAATACAGTAATTCAATTAAGGCCCAACAGGGCTTGACTCTCTGAGAAATAACACAATTTAAGTTCCCCAGTGAAAACCAGGAGCAGAGAACAACTCGATTACCAGGGTCCTGGGGAAGCGGCCAGGGCACTTGGAACCTAATCTGGGGGGGAAACATGGAGTCTGGCCGCCCTGTGGCATGTGCTAAACACCATGAGAAGATGTGGCCGTGCTCCACGAGGCTTCCCGGTGGAAATGTGAAAAGCCCAGCAAACGACCAGACCCGTTTCACAGCAGAACCATGAGAGGGGGAACCCTGACCAGGAAATTTTAACATGAAGTGCTTTCTGTATCTTTGTGAATGAGGAATAACCAAAACCATATTTGCAAAACTTCAAGAGTCCCACTCCAGTTGGCTGCAAATTCTTAAACATTAATGGAAGTGTTAACATAATCGTTGTGTTCAAAGGGAGAACGTATTTTGACAGTGCTTTCATTTCATAATCCTTCCGCTCTATTTCACCATCTTTGGTGGCTGAGAACTAACACCGATTAATTAAAAACACAGAATTACGCAGTTTCATTTTTGTGTTCGAGGAAAAAAAAGGCACAAATTAACTTCAGCATGCTTACGAATAAATGCATGCTTTTAAAATCAGTTTGCTTTGGATCTTGGGTCCTTTCTTGTGACCCTCAAAATGCATTACGTGGGTGAGACAATCATGAGTAACTGATTCCTAGCGGAAGAAAAAGTATCCTACCTTCTTCAGTGATTCACATTTTTTAAAAAAAAATTTTTTTTCCAACGTTTATTTATTTTTGGGACAGAGAGAGACAGAGCATGAACGGGGGAGGGGCAGAGAGAGAGGGAGACACAGAATCAGAAACAGGCACCAGGCTCCGAGCCATCAGCCCAGAGCCTGACGTGGGGCTC